CCCCACCCCCCAAAAGTTAGTCCTTTTCTTCCAAGCAACTCTATGGCTTTCCCACATTCCTACTATGTGCATACCTCCCCCCAAAGCAGATAACATAATTTTTCTTCATACAGGTAAGACTCAAGATCAATCTCTTACTGCCCCCATTACAAATTTTAGAGCTTCAGAGCTCCACTAACTTAAGTCAAGAAGTATCACAGGTTTTAACAGAAGTAGTAGTTTAGATAATAAAACCAAACTGCAGAGATATGGTTATTTATTTGGAAAAGGACCACCTGAAAATTATTATTCCTGGAAAAAATAAGCCCTCTTTTAGGAAAATTGGGTTCCTGAATAGGGTTGTAATCCTATATGGAATAGCACCTCATACAAATAGGTGCTATTTGAAGAATTAGGTGCAAAAATTAAACATATATGTAAAAAGTCACATCTGTGTATAACTTAGATCCTTTCAGTACACAAAATATACTGAATTGGAAAGGGCCCTGACATAAAACTGTTTAGCAATAAAGTATGGCTACATGTGAAGATGAACTATTGCACAGAAAACCCATGGCAGCATTTTATTTAGTTTTGGAATACAAAAGGGAACGACATATTGCTCAAGGTAAGCTTTAAAGTAAACATCCTTAAAAAGTGGGGAAGCTAGCTTCAATTTAAAATCTGGCACCGCCACATGGCTGGCATAGTTCAGTGGTTGAGAGTTGACCTATGAATTGTGAGATCATGGTTCGATTGCAGGTCAGGGCACATGCCTGGTTGCAGGCTCCATTCCCAGTTCAAGAGACAGCCAATCAATGATTCTCTCTCATCATTGATGTTTCTATCTCTCTTCCTCTTTTTATTTATTTATTTATTTATTTATTTATTTATTTATTAGAAAATCAGGTTGTTGTTTTTTAAAAATATATTTTGATTTTTTACAGAAAGGATGAGAGAGGAATAGAGGGTTAGAAACATTGCTCAGCCGCTTCCTTTATATCTTCTACTGGGGATATGCCTAAACCAAGGTAGATGCCCTTGATCGAAGTCAAACCTGGGACCTTTCAGTCTGCAGGCCAATTCTCTATCCACTGAGCCAAACTAGTTAAAGCTCTCCCTCATTGAAATCAGTAAAAGTATATTAATAACTAACTAAATAAAACCTATCACTGCTAATTTACACAGTAATAATAGTTTACAACAAACTTAGTATTTCCACAGTAAAGTACACTAAACAACAATTTTCAGTGTAAGAAGTCAGATAAAATATGATCTAAAAGCATTTAAGAGCTAGGCTGATTCTAACCGGTTGATATTTCAAAAGTATTTATTTCCTGAAAAGTGACAATCATTAACTTTTTAAGACCTCAAAGTGATATAGCTTCTAGATTTTAAAACTAGAAAATACAATTAAACAGAAGAATCTTAATTAACAATACAGTACATACTGGTCTGCACTCTACAGATTTGTGAATTCCAGTTTCTACTGCCTTCTAGTTAAAGTCTAACTGAGGGGGGGGGGGCGGGGAATCCAGTTGCCAAGTTACAGTGGTTAGGAAATCAACACTTAACGAAGGCCATCATCAGTTACTCTTCCTTAACTTACAGAAATTAACAATATGCTATTAAAAATTCTTTTGGAGGCTGAAGACTGATAATTGTAGCCCTAAATCAATGGGTCCCGGGTTGATTCCAGTCAAAGGCACTGGTTGCAGGCTCCTCCCTGGGGGGGGGGGGGGGGGGTGTGTGTGTGTGTGTGTGTGTGTGTGTGTGTGTGTGTGTGTGCGCGCGCGCGCGCGCAACCAATTGATGTGTTTCTCTCCTATCTATGTTTCTATCTTTCCCTCTTTCTTCCCCTCTCCCTAAAAGTCAATGCAAAAATATTTGCCAGTGAGGGTTAACCAAAAAATAAAATAAAATAAAATTCATTAAAAATATATTTTAAAAAAATGTAGTTTCAATAAAATGACATGGACCCTAACCAGTTTGGCTCAGTGGATAGAGTATTGATCTATGGACTCAAGGGTTCCGGGTTCAATTCTGGTCAAGGGCATGTACCTTGTTTGCAGGCACATACCCAGTAGTGGGTGCGCAGGAGGTAGCTGACCAATGTTTCTCTATCATCGATGTTTCTAACTCTCTATCCCTCTCCCTTCCTTACAGTCAAAAAAATATATATATTTTAAATGACACGGTTTTTAAAAAAAGACTGATAATTTTATTTTGGGGACTCAATCCTATAAAGTTGAATGATGATAAAGATTTTAACAAATTTTGATAGTCAAATATGCTTCCAAACCATTTGCATATTAGTGAAGTACAAGATACCATAAAGAATTACTTCAGCCCTAGCTGGTTTGACTCAGTAGATATAGAGCGCCAGACTGCAGACTCTAGTTCAATTACAGTCCAGCTAGATCTCCAGTAGAGGGCGTGCAGGAAGAAGACAGTCAATCAATGCTTCTCTCTCATCATTGATATTTCTATCTTTATCTCCCTCCCTTCCTCTCTGAAATCATTAAAAATATATATTTAAAAACTACTTCAGCCCAGCCCATGTGGGACAGTGGTTAGTATGAACCTATGAACCAGAAGGGCAGTTTGATTGCAAACTGGTCAGAGCACATGCCTGCGTTGCAGGCTCTATCCCTGGTAGGGGGCATGCAGGAAGCAGCCAATCAATGATTCTCTTTCATCATTGATGTTTCTCCCTTTCTCTCAGAAATCAACATATATATTTTTTAAATAATTACTTCAAATAGCTCAACACTAATATTTCACTTTATAGTTAATGGGGTCAACTTAGAAATAAACCAACTACAACAGTTAAATTTTTTTTTAAAGGTAGTACTATTCTGTCTCCATCCCCCTTAGTTGGTTAGGCAGATCTTATGAGCCTGAGGAAGGGCCAAAAATCCTCAACTTTTCCAAGATAGGTGGGAGATTGTCTTTAAAAAAAAAAAAGTTTTAAAAAAGTTCTCAATCATTGCTAAAACCGGTTTGGCTCAGTGGATAGAGCATCAGACTGCGGACTGAAGGGTCCCAGGTTGGATTCCGGTCAAAGGCATGTACCTTGATTGTGGGTACATCCCCAGTAGGGGTTGTGCAAGAGGCAACCGATGGATGATTCTCTCTCATAGATATTTCTAACTCTCTATCCCTCTCTGTGAAAAAAATCAATAAAATATCGAGAGAGAGAGAGAGAGAGAGAGAGAGAGAGAGAGAGAGAGAGAGAGAAAGAGAAAGAGAGAGATTAGGAATGAATATCATTGATTGGCTGCCTCCTGCACAGCCCCTACTGGGGACCTAGCCTGAAACCCTGGCATGTGCTCCTGGTGGGAAGGAATCCAGGACTCTTCAGCCCACAGACCGACTCTATCCACTGAGCCAAACCGGCTAGGGCTGCGAACTTTTATGCAAACCACTATACAAAACTTTTACGTTGATTAAAGAAGACAACAATGCAATGGCATTTCTTTGTAAAAGTATATTTTGTTTGGCTATCTTAGTCTATTAAAAGCTGGTAATGCTTTAAATCTGAGGATTCATTTTCTACTCAGATATTTTAAGATTGACAATCCTACCACAGTATTTGGAATAGAAAGATGAGAGAGAATCATCCATTTCAAAAGAAAAAAACAGATTAAAACCTTCTATTGGATACCATTTTTTGGGGCGGGGATATTTCTTCCAAAATTCTAATAAATACATTAAGGAGTTTTCAGCAATACATGCATACTTCTAGAGGCTTGTTCTCCAGACATCAACTGGCTGGGTGTATCCTTTCTATATAGACTCCAGCCCAATACACTCACCGTTAATGTTATCATCTTATTTAGAAAACACTTGAAAGTGCATTACTTTTTGTAGGGGGGGGAAATTGTTTCCTTTCAAATGCTTTCCATACATAACCTTTAGGGAGCAGTTAATACAAAAATGAAAAATAAATTAAAAAATAAACCCCCCCACAAAAAACTATAAATAACTGGCAGTTCTCACATCTGAAAACGTAAAGCTTTTCTTGGAAGAGAATGTTTAAGGCCTGGACGTGGCAGCGCCAGGAATTCTTATTCAATTAAAATCACCAGGTTTTTCCCCTTATCGTTAAGAAACCTAAAATTGCCAAAGAACCTGTAGTGAAACAAATTTAAACTCTTTAAGACAAGAAAGCAAACACATACCTATTTCATCTCTAAATTAAGAAAGGATCATGGGACCTCGCTTAAAGTTAACCCAGAACACGGCCCACGAGAATCTTTCGGCCGGACACGTGCAGAACCGCCCTACTCTATGGCAACTCCCCGCTGCCAGGGACACGGCCGAGTTGTGGCAACCTTCACTCTCCTGGAGAGAGATCGGAGTCAGGAGAGGGCCTGGAAAGACCCAGGCTCGAGAAATCACGCCGCCCGAGAGGGAACTAAGTTGTGGGGACGGGACGGCCTGCCTCCGGTTGCCTAGTAGCTCCGGTTCATGGAGGAGGCCCGCGTGGTGGTCCCCGGCCGCGGGGAGCGCCCACCACAGGTGCACTGGGCCCGGGGCCCGGCGCGGGTAGGACAGGGCGGGGAACCAGGCGACCCAGGCTGCCCAAGAACCCAGCAATTCAAGGGGGTCCACGCCTCCGGGGCGCCGCATGGCAAAAACAAACAAACAAAAACACACACAAAAAACCCTCGCGGCACATTAAGGCCTAAGGCTTTAAGTTTGGAGAGTTCGGAATAACACGGACTGCAAAGAGGGGGAAAAGTGGGATTCCGGCGCGGGGGAAGCTGAGGGGCGGTTTACAAGTGGGGGAAGCGGACATCTGGAGGAAAAAATGTCCTCCACCCGCCAACGGTAACCGGAATCCAGACCCTGGGCCTCCCACCCTCAGCCGAGAACCAGTGCCACCCGAGAGAGGAGAGCGCCGAGGGGCCGCGAGCGGGGGAGGGGAGCGGAGCGCAGGGGAGGGGGCGGCCTCCGGCGCGGCCTCGGTATCCCGCCGGGGCGACCTTCCCTCGGCGGGGTGTCGCCGCACTCACATCGTGAACGGGGCAGGGGGGCGGGTGAGTGGGTGGGTGGGCCTCTCCGGCGACAGCTGCTGGGCCGTGGACTACACTCCGGGGGCGACTCCGGTGGTTTTCTCCCCGGCGCGGCCTCTCCTCGCTTCCCTCGGCGGCGGCGGCGGCGGCAGCGGCGGGCTCGGCCTGGTCCCCACAATGCACCGCGCGGGGAGAGCGGCTCCGCCGGTCGGCGAGGGGAGGAAAGTGTAGGAAAAGGGGCGCGAGGACGGAGAGCGAACGTGCGTGCGTGAGAGCGAGGGCTGCTGAGGCCGGGCGGCGGCTGGTGACGCAGCAAAATGCCCGGGCCCGGCTGCCGCGCCTGCGCACTCCCTGTGTTCGGGCCCCTGCGCGGCTTTCTAGAGATCTCTACGGAAGGGGCGGGGCCTCCCGGCGCTCCGCGAGCCTTCCCGGCGCGGGCCCCGCCCGCCGCCCGCCGCCCGGATCCGACCGCTTCCCGCCTCTCCTCCCGCGTCCCCCGCCCCGGGCCCTGGAAAACCGTTGGCCGTCCAACCGCCTCCCCGCGCGCTGGGGGTCGTCTCCCCGGAAACGGCCGCGGTGGTGGCGGGAGGGAGGCGGAGGCGGAGGGTCGCACAGAGTTGGGAGGCTTGAAAAAGTGGAAATGGAGGCTTGATTTTACTCCTGAGGGAATACACCAACCCAGGGAGGAAACATTCCACTCAAAAAAAAGATGTGGGCCGAAACCGGTTTGGCTCAGTGGTAGAGCCTCGGTCTGCGGACTGAAAGGTCCCAGGTTCGATTCCGGTCAAGGGCATGTACCTTGGTTGCAGGCACATCCCCAGTGGGGCGTGTGCAAGAGGCAGCTGGTCGATGATTCTCATCGATGTTTCTAACTATCCCTCTCCCTCTCTGTAAAAAATCAATAAAATATACTAAAAAATAATAATAAAAAAAATAAGTGACTTTCAAATTTTTTTTAAAAAAAAGATGTGGGAAGGTCGCCCGTGCTGGCGGCGTTTGCAGAGAGGGGTTAACTTCAGAATCCGGGTCCTGGCCCACCTCGCCATGACCCAGAAGGTGGGAAACAGGCCCGGGGATGGCGGGGGTGTCAGGGCTGTGGCGGAGGAGGAGCGCCCGCCGCCGCCCAGAGAGCCCAGTGCCGCCCGTGAGGCCGGAAGGTCATGTGGGCGGAGAGGAGGCTTGTGGGAATGGCCGTGCTCGGACCCTGGGGAGTCGACTCCAGGCACATCGGCTGGGGGGAGGGGGTCCCCTATCTGTTTGCAACCGATCTCTGCAAGTGCCGCTATGTGCAAGGCACTGGATTAGGCTGCAATGAGGGATCGTACCGAGAGAACGAAAACGGTGGAGTAAGGGAGAGATACACCCATGCAACGCCAGTCAGAACAAAGGAGACTATGGGAAGCGCCCTAAGACTTCTTGGAGAGTGTTCGGGGCTTCATATTCTGCATGTTCGTGTCTATGCTGGGCAAGGCAGGCATTGGGAACTATGGACATTGGATCCTATGCTCCAATCCCATTAAAAAGGTTAAATCTCAGCTCTCAGATATTGACTCGAAGGAGTCTACTGCCTGTTGGAGGAAACCAAATACACAAATCGGGATAATGGGAGTACAAAAGGTAATGGGAGCATAAAAAGAGGAGAGGTCGATATTGACCAGAAGGATTAGGACGGAAAATGAGGCAAGGAGTGGGGAGGGATGATGACCTTTCAGTTCCTACTGGGACAGTTTTAACCAGCCTGCCCAAGAATTATTCTCTAGGAGAAGATACCTGTGTTTGACTCTGATATTTATTATATGATTGGAGTTCAAACATTGTGAATTTACTTGTTACAGTGTGAGTTTAGGACGGCTAGAAAGGCCAACCCCAAAGTTAGTTTTATTACTTTGTATAACAACCAGTTATGTTTAACCTACAACCTTATTTTAATTTTCTTTTTATGCCTGTAAGTATCTACTTCCTTAAATGTTCCTGGAAACCAGCTTTACCATCTTGCTGGTTCTGTCAACCAGTTAAATGTTTGGCTCACAATTTTATATCTGCGCGAGTATCATGTTAAAAAAAATGTTTTTCAATTCTACTTTGACACCTCATAGAGGTGACGGCTGGAATGAGTGGCAGTAGTACATTCCAGGCAGGAATCTTGGCAGGTGAAGAGATAGAAACAAGTTTAGATAAGGAGTGGGCAAACTTTATGTAAAGGGGCAGATAAGGCCATAAGATTCTCTTGCAAATTTGGGAATCTGCTATCTTAGTATGAAATCAACCATAGAAAATATGTTAAAACAAAAACCTGTGTTTTAAAAAAAAAATACACTAAGAATGCTGAAATTTAAATTTATGTTCCCATGTCACAAAATATTATTTTCAAACCTTTAAAAATACAAAAATTGGCAGCCTGCTGGATTTGATCTACAAGCTGTACAACCCCTGGCCTAGGTAGTCCAGAGCACAAGGGAATAATTCAAAATAAGGTTTTGAAAGTTGGTCACAACCAAATAATGGTGGCATTGAATATCAGGCTAATTGTTTTCAACTTATTGCTCTGACAATGGGAAACTATTGAAGGGTTTTTTAAAGGGGAGAACATGTGTATTCTAGAAAGATTAATCTGGTAACAATGTATAAGATGAACTGGAAATGGACGAGCTGAATTTATAGAATTTAGAAGACTGCAACTCTAACGGTATTTTCCCTTATCAAAATAAGTGCTGTGAGAAAACTGCTTTTCATACAAATTTTTGAAAATTCAGACCCAATGCATCCTAAGTCATAGTTTACTACCCCCTGTTGGACATATTTCATGGGATTTCATGGTATGTAATTCTGGAAATAGCTTCTCTCCAGAGATTCACAAGTACTGTAATTTGTAATCAGGTTTATCCATGCCTTTGCATGTTATCTCAGCTATTAGATGATGGGGACCAGTTGTACCAGGATTTGTGTGTGTGTGTGTGTGTGTGTGTGTGTGTGTGTATTTTTTTTTCAAATTCACTAATATGTATGAGTAAGAGGCCAAGTCTAGATTCAAACATGTATCAGTCTTTTGGAAGAGAAATCTGCAACCTGAGTTGGCAGGAATTAGAAAATACTTGGCAAGTGTTAAATGCCCTTTTACAAAATTAATCCTAACAGTCTCCTAAAAGAAAAAAATTCCCAGGCCAAATTTTAAAGTTAATTAAAGGAATGCAGAAACAATTCATCAATTTTAATTACAGCATTCCTCTTCTTATATTTTTCAGAGGACTGAATTTAAATGTGTCCACAATCAATAATAGCAAAAAAAAAAAAAAAAAGAACTTTATTGATTGACATGAACCATTTTTTTAAAATAAATCTTTATTGTTCATATTATTACAAATGTTCCTCATTTTTCCCCCCTCCAGTGCTCCCCTCCACCAGGTTCCCACCCCATCCTCTACCCTTTCCCCACTCCCCATTGTCCTCATCCATAGGTGCACAGTTTATGTTCAGTCTCTTCCACACCCCCTCTCCCCTTTTCCCCGAGAATCATCAGTTCACACCCCTTCCATATCTCTGATTCTATTATATTCACCAGTTAATATTGTTCATCAGATTTTTTTTAATTCCTTTGGTTTTTAGATTCACTTGTTGATAGTTACATATTTGTTGTTCATAATTTTTAAAAAATATATTTTATTGATTTTTTTTACAGAAAGGAAGAGAGAGGAATAGAGAATTAGAAACATTGATGAGAGTCATCGATCAACTGCCTCTTGCACACCCCCCACCGGGGATATGCCCACAACCAAGGTACATGCCCGGGAATCGAACCCGGAGCCTATCAGTCCACAGGCTGACACTCTATCCACTGAGCCAAACTGGTTTGGGCTGTTGTTCATAATTTTTTTTTTATTTTATTTATTTATTTTTTATTTACAGAGAGGAAGGGAGAGAAATAGAGAGCTGGAAACGTTGATGAGAGAGAAATATCGATCAGCTGCCTCCTGCACACCCCCACCAGGGACATGCCTGCAACCAACATATATGCCCTTGACTGGAATCGAACCTGGGACCTTTCATTCCGCAGACCGACGCTCTACCGCTGAGCCAAACCGGTTTCGGCTGTTGTTCATAATTTTTATCTTTATTTTCTTTCTCTTCCGAAAGAACCCCCTTCAATTCATATAATTCTGGTTTGGCGGTGATAAACTCCTTTAGCTTTTTTTAGTGAAGCTCTTTATCTGGCCTTCGATTCTGAGTGATAGTTTTGCTGGGTAGATTATTTTTGGCTGTAGGTTCTTGCTATTCATCATCTTGAATATTTTTTGCCATTCTCGTTTGGCCTGCATGGTTTCTATTGAGAAATCAGCTGACAATCGTATAGGTGTTTCTTTATAGGTAACTACCTGCTTTGCTCTTGCTGCTTTTAATATTCTCTCTTTGTCTTTTGCTCTTGGAATTTTAATTATGATGTCTCTTGGTGTGGTCCTCTTTGGATTCCTTTTGTTTGGGGTTCTGTGTGCTTCCTGGACTTGTAAGTCTAATTCTTTCACCAGGTGGGGGAAGTTTTCTGTCACTGTTTCTTTCAGTATGTTTTCAATATCTTGCTCTCTCTCTTCTTCTGGGACCCCCATAATTTTGATGTTGGATCGCTTGAAGTTGTCCCAGAGGTTTCTTACATTATCTTCAACTTTCTGGATTCTCTTGTCTTCTTGCTTCTGTGGAGGAGTGTCTTCTGGCTCTTTGTGTTCCAAATCTTTGACTTGATTCTTGCGATCTTCCATTCTGTTTTTAGGACTCTGTATAATATTTTTTATTTCAGACAATGTATTCTTTATTTCTGGTTGATCCCTTATTGTTTCTTGTTGATCCCTTATTATTTCTTATTGATCCTTTATTATTTCTAGTTGATCCCTTTTCATATCCTTATAGATCTTGTTTGTTTTATCGGCTTTTATTAGGAAATTCTTGAAATACCTTATAAGCATGGTTTTGAACTCTATATTCAGTCGCTTTTTGTCCTCTATTTCTTTCGTTTATGATCTGTTTCCTTGTCTCGGCATTTTCGCTGCTTCCTTGAGTTGGTAGCCTTAAAAGTCTCTGTGTTCAGCTTAGATGGGGCAGTTTCAGGATGGAGCCTATAGCCTTGGCTTCCGTCAGCCCTGCCCTATGAGGCTCCTAAGTATCAGTGTTCCTCAGTGTCCTTTGGTATTCGCTGCAAGCACCTCTGAGAGAAAGGTGCCCTCGAGTTGTGCCCGCTACCAAACAGTCTAGTCTCTCCCCCAATGAGCCCAGAACTGGGGTTCAGTTCAGTTGGAAGTGGGGTTCAGAGAAGTCTGGAGCTTTTGTCTCCTTCCCGCTAGGGCAATCTAGCAGCAGAATCAACAGT